GATTTTTACAAAGCTCATCGGTCTGAAAAGCGAGGTGTGCTGTGATTGGCCAGCTCTCCTGTGCGTTGTGATCGGCCGAATACGTCAAGCGTGTGACGGAAATGTTACGTCCCTTATCATATAGCCGGGCTTGCGGCAACCACATGTGACGACCCCAGGCTGGACTCCGCTTCGTCCACAGTGAAAGCCGATCCGGCGATCTGCAGCGCAAAGTTAATGTATTTCCTCAGCAACCAGCATGGATCAGCTCCAGGCATGACGAAGCAGATATCGTCCTCTTTTGGAAGGCCAAACAAAGTAGTTTCTTTTTCACAACGAATCACACAGCGCCTTCACGACATGGCGGCGGCAACAACAATACTACAGCGAGAATAAAAGTTACGCCTTTCTTTGCGTGAACATCTTCCCACATTGTGACGTAGACATGTGGGAACGAGCCATTTAGGTAGGCGTGGTTGACTCTTAACTTTTATAAATAATATATCTTTGGATTTGAGACTTTAGTCTTTGCAACTTTACAGATCTTCTTTATGCACCAAGAGCTTGTAACACTCCAAAGAGAAAGGAAAAATTTAAATTGCATCATATGACCCCTTTAAAAGACTGCACAAACTGGGTTCTTAACTTCTCTACACAGTGGTGGGAGACAGTCAAGGTGGGCAGTGATGTTTCAAGAACCATCACAGTGAATACGGGCTCTCCGCAAGGCTGCGTCTTGAGCCCCCTGTTGTTCTGCCTGCTTACCCATGACTGTCCTGCAAGAGTAAGCACCAACCATATTATTAAGTATGCTGACGATACAACAGTGACAATGATGAATTTGCATACAGGTTGGAGGTAGAGCAGCTTACAGCAAGGTGTAGACTTCATAATCTTGCCCTCAACGTGGACAAAACAAAGGAGATGGTGATAGATTTTAGGAGAGGCAACCACCTACTCTTACCACTAACCACTGATGGTGCTATCGTGGAAAGGGTCAAAAACTTCAATTTTCTGGGCGTTCACTTGTCTGATGACTTGTTCTTTATTTTGAACACCATGGCAGTCATCAAAAAAGCCCTTACATTCCCTTCGGAGACTTAGAAAGGCAGGTCTCCCTACCCATCTCCTTACCACCTTTTATAGGCGAACCACTGAAAGCATCCTGACCTACTACCTCACTTCATGGTTCAGGAGTTGTAAGGTTCAGGAATAGCAGCAGCTCGATAGGATAGTGAAGACAGCCAGGAAAATCACTGGTGCCTCTCTCCCTCCTCATAAGAGACCCTTTCCACCCGTCACATGGCATGCTTTCACATTTGCCATCCGGGAAGAGGTACAGGAGTATCTGCTGCAGATCCAGCAGGATGCTAAACAGCTTCTTCTCACAAGCAATCAGGAGGGTGAACAGACTGCGCCCCCTTCCCACTCATCAAAATAAATTAATGTACATTCACATTTATATCAGTTCATTCCTACCTCTTCACCATTGTTATAGCACGCTGACAGCTAGTCATCTGTCAAGGTGTTTTTTCTATTTAAGCACATTATAAAGTACATTATGACATTATTATAAAGGACAAATCAATTTTCTTATAGAGTTATAAATTGTGTGGAATATAAAGTGTGGAAATGTTGTGGCTGCTTAACCTTGTAAGTTGTAATGTCTTTGTATGTATTTCTTTTGCACTACAGTATGCTGGTGAGGAATGGTATTTTGTTTCTGTGTGCATTTAAATACTCTGAGAAATGACAAAGTGAAAAAAAATTGCAGCACAGTTTCCACAAAAAAATATTAAGTAGCAAAAAACGGTTTTATATAATATTTTGCATCTGAACTCTTCATATATATATATA